AGGTTATCCAAAGATGCACCAGGATTACTTTGAACTATATCAAACAGGCTACAGGAGAAAACATGCATTTGTATACTGTGCACAAATTGTGGGTATTGTGAACGTAGTCATCCATCCATCCATCCATTATCTATACACCGCTTAATCCTCACTAGGATCTCGGGGGGGCTGGAGCCTATCCCAGCCGACTTAGGGCGAAGGCAGGGTGAAGGTAGTCATACTCCAGAAAAAATGGAGCTGAAATAAGGTTTAAGAGCAAGTAAACAGGCCCTGAACTGCATGTATTCATAAAAAATGTCTTCTAAATAAGACAGAGCGCTACACGTGAACATGATCTTTAAAGTTAGAAAGGTTCAGAAAATCATGCCACAGTGAGGAAAAGTCAGTTGCATATATGTTTAAAGAAAGTGCATCACCCTGTGGAATTTCATATTTCTAGCCTTTTTTTTGCAGTGGTATGCTACAATACTGACAAAATTTGACATATAAACTAATTACTTTTAATACAGTAGTTAAGGCAAAGCTCGCCAGCATTTGACAAGTGCTTTGAAAATATTTCAAAACCAGCATTTGCGACATTTCTACAACAACTTTGGCAAACATGACATTTATTATTTTAAATGGAAGACGAAAAGAACGTGGAATCAACGTGTACAACATTTTCCCAAGTGTCCACAAGTGTTACCAATTCTGGAAAAATAATTGGTGGCTCTGCATTCTATAGAGATTGTGTTAACATTGTTCAAACATTTTTTTTCACACTGCTCTGCACATCAAACCTAGAAAGATGTTGCACCATGTGGAATGTATCTTCCAACCACTTGCTCCTCTGCAAACCATTTGTGCTGCATTTAATTTATTGATCAAGTATGTTTTTATTTTCCTCCCAATCATTCACACTTTTCTCCATACTTGTCCCTCTCTGGTCTGCCTGCAGTTCAAACGAAAAGTCACTGAATTTGTGTCATGTGATTGTTAGTCATGGCTTTTCAGATGCACTGACATTTTTTTTTTGTTTTTTATTTTTAATGGAAACTGGCTGATTTTTGGCAAACTTTTAAATGAGTCGTGTAGAATAAAGTGAGTTTGATGAAGCTTGTATTTGGTTAATTTTCCAGATGGAGCCGCATATTACAGATGATTACTTTAAGGACCATTAAAAAGTTGAAAATGATACAAATTCTCCTGTCTTCAAAGTTTCAGGCTAAATTGAATGTTGTAACTTTGGCAGTTTTTAAAAGATGCCATGTCTTTTTAAGAAGAAGGTTATGCAGACAACAATTACAATTTTACGATGTGATGCCTGTTCTGGCAGGTGTGGTCCCAGCTTTTTTTTCTTTTCTTTTTTTTTAACTTGTTTTGATTGCAATTTTGACTAAACAAACTTCCAAAGTACTATATTAGACCAAGTGTCTTACTGCCTTCAGAGTACATAGTTTGGAGTTTATTACCTCGACACTTGGTTTGGTTGTGACCTTTTGCTTGTCGGACTCCCTGTTTATCAACTGGCCCATTCTGTTGTATAAATGTGCCTCTGGCTCATGAACCGGCCTAGTTTTTGAGACAAAGATGAAGATGGTTTTGTAAAAGAGGGCCATGTCTCTAAGGGATGAGTTTACCAGTCCTCAGTGGGATGGAGAGTGTTTATTTTCCCTTGGCTCCTGATCCATTTATGAAACTAACCAACTGTAACTGATTAATTTCACTGGATGAATTCCAGAGGAAGTGTCGATTTTGGGGCGTGAAGCACAACTAGGGGCATACTTCACTAATTACTATACTTAGTATGCATTATATATTTTCTTATTGTTTATTTTTGCCTATTTATCAGTATTTATGGTGGTGGTAACTTTACTCTTTGTGCTGTAATAACCAAATTCCCCCTCAGGGATTAATAAAGTATTTCTATTCTGTTCTATTCTCAATCACGTCTTAAACACATATTGTATTTTACTTCTGTTAACACAATGTTTTAGTTTTATTAAATCGCTTTTGTCCGATTTCACGTCATTTTATTCTTCATTAGAAACATTAACTTCTCTTCCTCAGTTGTTTTGCTGCGTGCTCATTTTTGCATTATTTTTTTTGAAGAGGCACTGACAGTCACTCAGGTCTTTTACAGGGCATTCAAGAGGTAATGACTGTTTTCGAAACAGCCAAAATGAATATGTTCAGGCCGGGCATATTAATTCAGTTAGGTCTGTTTAGAATTTGAAAGAGGAACTGGTGAGCCTGAACTCCTCGGGCCTTTTAAAAGGGCGGTTGTCTTTGTATTTGCCGATCGTGGCGTGTCGTGTTGTGGGCGTGAATAATAGACCTCCTTATTAGCGCTGTTTCTATGGCAACAAGACGTGTTTGCCAGGCAGATCTGAGACCGCCGAGCCAGAGGGTTCACATTCGCACAGACACCCAGGGAGATTCAACAGACTGTTTGACAACAAGCAGATACTGCATCCTGCTGCACGAGAAGGCGACTGTAAACTTCAAAAACATAGGCCTGGTGACATTTAGCCCTCTGATTTAAATGCTCTGCAGTGTGTCTGTTTGTTTCGTATTTCTGGGTAATTTCGTGAATAACAACACAGTACTTATAACCACAAATTACATGTGGAATTGTTGATTGCCTGGAAGAGCAGTGAGTTAAAAACACATCAGTCATAAAGTGTTTGTGTCCATGTTGTCCTCTTTATGACTTGTGTGGTGAATCTGCACCCCACACCCTCATGCTGCACATTTCTTTCCCAATAAGAAACACCAATGACAATATTTCACTGTGGGAAAGCTGCAGTCATTAATATTCCTTATTGCAACAATGGATCCAATGATTACATTTAATGTGACAGGTGTTGTACACAGTGGTGAACGGCTAACTCTGCAGTTCTCTTGTTGTTTTGTGGCCTCCTGACTCTCTGATCCGTCTAATTTTCAACTGTTTGCCCGTTTGAACCAACATGCTCTGACAAACCCAGTGTATTAGGGTTAAACTAACTAAATATTATTTTTATTGTTAATTATTCTGTTGATTATTTTCTCAGTTTGGTGTATAAAATGTGAGAAACTGATGAAAAAATGTCCACAATGTTGTCTTCAAATATCTTGTTTAGTCCACAACCCTCAAATATTCAGTTTACTGTCATAGAAGAGGAGAAAATTAGAGAATATAGTCCGTTTTTTCTTTGAAAAATAGTTCAGTTTGAATTGGTTCTACAATGAACACTACCATTTTAGCTGCTCGCTGTTTGAGATAGTGCAGCATTTTAGCAGCTAATGAGCCAGACATTTCCATTGGTGGAGAACCAACCTGAGCTACAAACAAAGTAAATATTGGCTTTAGATTAGTCAAGTGGCCAGAGACTCAACATCAAATAAATGCTGCTTCATTTGTTCTGGATGTGTAAATAGGCGACTGTTTGCTATTTGTGATAATACGTCTGCCCGCGTTGTGTTTTTTAGTTTGTTGCATCTTGTCAAAGCTACCTGTTCAGCACCAAACGTTAGACAAAGTTAGCGACCACCTGTGCACATAGATGAAGCTTTTTAGCAGCAGTTCATCCAGAGGTTTCCCTCAGGAGTTGTGGAGAACAAACTGGAGCTAAAACAAAGTAAATATTGGGCTTTACATTGACCAAGTAGCCAGAAGCATGACTCCAAATGAATGCTAATGTTGCTTTATTTGTGCTGGATGTGTAAATAGGCAACTGATTGCTCATTTGTTTCATGATGTGACAGTACGTATGCGGATGTTTTTGCTGCACCACCTCAAAGAAGGCAGAAAATGACCTTTAGCTTTAAAGCTGCACGAATCAGTGTTTATCTCAACATGTATGAAATGACTATGATGTGAAAGGGTTCACATGTCGTGACAAACCCACAGAAAATTCCCGTGTTTCTCTTTACCTCCCCTCAGCTGTGTGCGTTATATTACCATCCTTTAGCTTTTTGATTTGGTTCTCATAACTTTAAGGTGCTTTTTTGTTGCAGCATGCTGCTCTTTTCAGCAAGAAAAACCCCAAAATATCTTCTAAAGTCATTGTATGCTATCTGCCCAGCACCAAACAGTGTTCTTGACTAGCTGGTGAACTTAGCAAAGCATCTTAGCAGTAACGGAGCCAAATATTTCCCTCAGGAGTTAGTGGAGAGCAAACCTGAGTAAAAACAAAAGTAAATATTGGTCAAGTGGCCAGAGGCACTGTTCCAAAGGAATGCTAATTCTACTTCATGCCTGCAGGATGTTTAAAAAGGCAAATATTTATTATGTTTGCTAAAACACATTTAAATGGACTTCTTCTGCTGCTTTAAAGTTGTCTTAGTGTTTTTTTTAATTATTTAAAAGGATTACAACTGTGTTTAATGTGACAGAGGCCACTGTTAGTTACAAAAGCACAAAAAATTCTTGTCATTCTTGAGTTCTGGTCCTTTGTATGGAGTAATTCAGTGTCCATTGTTTTGGTTTTATGACCTGCAGTGTTACTGTTTTGGTAATTCTTACTTCTCACTTCAGCCTTATTCCCAGCAGCACCAGGCAGCTGATTTTAGAGAAGAACCCTCCGTACGCCACCAGCTAACCTCATGAGGTGTTCTTATGTCAGTGTTTTGACATCACTTCCCTCGTTCCACTAACCCGGCAAAGAACCAGTGCTGCAGCGTTTGGCTTTCGGATAAACAAAGCACACTGGACTCTATTACACCATCCCCGCTTTCAAAAGTGTCATTTTTATGTAGGTCAGTGGGGTAGCACATCTTTTATTCCCTTAAGCTTATTTTCAGGTTCTTGAGTGCGTTTGACCCCTTTCTTGTGTGTCGAGTTTTAAGTGCGCACTCACAAAACGACTGATTGACGCGACCACGTGGCCACGTGGATCAATAACCAACAGGGCAGCTGATACAGGCCACTGAACACAATTTTGAAAAGAGAAACACATACACATATGTAGTACAATTGTGTATTTTTGTTGCATTAGAGGCGATATCTGATATTTCTCTGCCTCTGTCTCCCACAGAAACCAGCGAACATCCTGGTGATGGGGGAAGGTCCTGAACGGGGAAGAGTTAAAATCGGTAAGTAGATTTGAAAAGATTATTCTATGAAACGCTTGATGCAGTATGCGGATTTGTAAGTTATACAGCTTGCAGTTGCTGGTATCATTATGACGGCGGATCAATGAGGCCGTTGACTCGCTTGAGTGTCCGGGAGCCACAGCGTTTAACCTTGTGCCTGAGAGGTTGACGGGGAGCTCAGATCAGCGCTGTTACATAAGGCAGCTGGCCAGGGGACTGTTGAAGGGTAATGCTGCAATGCTGGAGTCTATTTTTAAACCCCGTGCTCCCAGTAATAGGACTGAGTTATTATTCCAGTGCGACTGGACTCTCCACAACTGGTGCTGGTGAAGCTTTCACTGGACTGAATTAGCGTAACTCCACAGCGCTGCTCCAGTAAGAGCAAATTCATAGTTGTTCACTCATATATCTTAACTGTTCTATGGGGCTAAATGTTTGTTTCACTATTTTTTACGCTCATGATTATATATGTTATAAAAGTTTCGCTGTTTCTAAATGAGTCACTTTCACTTTAGATTTAACCTCTGAACTCTCAGCAGTTTCCAGGCGTTTTTTTTTTTGCCTTTGCCGGGTTTTTATTCAGTCTTGCACCTTTATGGAAGCAACACAACCATGGCTAGAATTAAAGAGAACTTATGTCTTTTGTTAAGTATGACAAAGTTATAATACCAGAAATTATTTTTGAAAAGGGACAAATAAAATGACCTTTAGGAAAAAGTTTAATCTGATAGTAGAATACGGCAAAGTTTGTTTCAGTTTAGAGCTGCTCTTAAAAGTGTTGCTAAAAAAAGGGGTGAGTCTCTTGATAAACATGGCACTTGTAGCAGAGAGCATTTTCACTCCTGAGTAGGAACCATAAAAGTCTGAAGTGTGATTCTTGATAAATACGATCCCAGAATGTCATTTGGGCGATTACAGGGACCTGTTTTGGGATCTCTTTTAGGGAGGACTTTCTTTTCTTTTCATTTGAAATAGGACAGATGTGTTTTATAAAAAAACATGACTTGTGCAGCTTTAACAGTTGTAGGCATATTCAGCTTTGACCTGAGGTGCTACATGAGAGCAGCCTGTGGCCCTGACAGCAGCCTTGGACCGCGGCCAGCCTTCATCCATCCATATCGCTCTCTGATAATGCCTTTGTTTGCTAACTGCATCTATCTTCTCCACACACGTCCTGTAGCTGACATGGGTTTCGCCAGACTCTTCAACTCTCCCCTCAAGCCGCTGGCAGACCTCGACCCGGTGGTGGTGACATTCTGGTACAGGGCCCCTGAGCTGCTGCTGGGGGCCCGACACTACACCAAAGCTATCGGTGAGTCACGTGTTAAGAAAACCCTCGTGTGTGTGCTAAACAGCTATGAACATTAAACTTTCAGCACTGAAACTGGACTTTGATCCCCTGTTGTTTGTATGTTTGGAGCTGGTTTGTGTTAGTGGACATGAGTAGCTGAGAGTTTAGCAGCATAATGAGCGTCTCAGTGTCCTTGAAGGGCTCAGTGTGTATATGAATGCACATCAGTGCCTGATAAGGTGTAAGTGCTCATATGATCCCTGGCTTTCATCAGTGGGAAGCGGATGTGTCTACACATCTATATTTATCAGACATGCAACATGAGACAACACTGTAAGTTTGTCGCCACAGTCTTTCTGTTAGCTCTCGCCAAGTGTCCCAGACATCCATTCTGTTAGTGATTATCTCCATGAGGTGTGATCAAAAACTGTGCCATGTTTGAAGTTGGTTGCAATCCACGTCTAAGTATTGTCCTCATAAAGCAATTCAGTGCTTCCAAGTCTTCAGCAACACTGTTGTAACACTCCCTAGAAGTCTTGTTATGCAATCCTGTCAAGCAGCATCTGCAATGAGCGCTGGATCTCCTAAACTGTGTCAAAACGGTGATCCTTCAATCAATCGAACTGTATTTATATAGCAATTTCACTTAAAAAATGCCTTCCAGGAAAAAAGGGAAAAAGTAACAAAAAAATTAAATTAAGGACTCCCTAAAAGCGAGGACTGAATATGTAAATACAATAAGGAAGCAATTATGGCAGGATAAGTCAAAATTCAGAATTACAAAATATATAAAATAAAAAGTGATGCGACAGATAAACTATATTAAAATGTTAAAATCAATAGACAAATAATAAATCTATTTAATAATAAAATCTATAAATAAAAAAGACAGTTTAATATTGTTATTCTTACTATTATTTTGAAAATAATAACAATGATAATAATAACAATAATAAAATCAATGAAAAATTTTGATTGAAAAACAGTAATAACAATCAAATGAATAAAATCAATTCAGTGACATATTAAAAAGGTGGTTTGGACGTGAATTTTATTATGGGGATGAGGAAGAAGCAGCAGGGAGCCAAATCATGTACAGTCAGTAGAGAGCGATTATTATGTTTATGTGGCCCAAATTCTCAGGTGGAAGAACTGCATAGTGATGGAGCACACAGTGGGCTAAATCATCCACGTGCCATCGCAGTTCATTTTAGACTGTTTGTGCCAAGTGTCCTTCCTCGGACACCTCAGGACGTGATAGTAGAGCTCTACTCTGAGAATCCAAACCTGCGGGATTAATTCACGATGCATAAAGCAGTTTGAGGTTCATGGAGAAATCACAAATGTGCACTAGCTGGTCCCTTGACTTGACAGTTAGTGCTCCCACATGTTGAACGCACCTGATCGTGCGCACACACCACCAACATTCCCAGAAGTATTTGAATGCACCGTGTAAATATGTGAGGTGTATAAAAAAAAAAAAGGAATTGTTTGGTATTTGGAGAGATTATCTTTACATACAGTTTTAGCATTAAATAGGAGGAGTGATAAGACTACCATGTCTGTCCATTTAATATAGCAGCTGCTGGTTATCTCAGCCTTAATCTGTACAAAAACCAAAGTGTTAAAATGACCATGTGACCAAGCTATCTGTTAGCTAGCAGTTTTCCTCTGTTTCAAGTGTTTGTGCTAAGCTAATGTGCTGCTTCATATCTCACAAACAGGAAAAGGAATGGTGTCAGTTTTCTAATCTAAAATTTCCCAAATGCTTTAAATAATAATGTGCCATCATTTACCAGTATCATTTTTTTGTGTAATTTAAAACCTACAGAAACCTAATTCCTTTCTTCAGTTTTAATCACGTCGAACGAAAAATTCATATTTTGCTGGTTCACTTTAAACGTGCTTTTTCACACATGTATATAGTTGTACATAGTAGTTAAACATCCATTTCTTTTCTGTCTGTTGTCCCTGTTTGAATGCACAAGTGTTTTACTTTGAGAGCAAAGAAAACACCACTCCCTGTGTGTGTTCACTTGCTTGGCCAAAAAAGCTGATTCTGTTTCTAGCAGAACACAGAATCAACTATCAAACTTGTTATTTTAGTAGAAGTGAAATGTTACTTTAGATATCAGATCAGGAATCTTTTGGTTTAGAAGTGGGTCAAACTCCTGTAAATGCAGATAATAAAACAGTAAACAGCCTGAATTTGAAATTTGTTTTTTTAACACACTTGAAAAGTCACCTTTGTTTAATCCAGGAAGATTAATGCACTGTAGGTAATGTTTCCGAAGACACTCAGACTAAGTGCCGTCTTTGTGTGTGTCTGTGTGCGTCTGTGTGTGCTTGTGCATGCATCAGATATTTGGGCGATTGGCTGCATCTTCGCGGAACTGCTAACGTCGGAGCCCATCTTTCACTGTCGCCAGGAAGACATCAAGACCAGTAACCCCTTCCATCACGACCAGCTGGACAGGATATTCAGCGTCATGGGTTTCCCCGCAGGTCTGCACACAATACACACAGTTACACATGGACAAGGCACACAGCTGTGTTTGCGTGCTGTTTTCTGAATCAACTTTGATTTTCAAATTTGGGTTTGCATTTCAAACAAACTTGACTCGTGGGGAGAGTCAACAGGCTCGCTGTCGGACAACAGTTGGTCACACTCAGTGGATGACGAGTGGTTTCATTGTCGTCACTTCACAGCAATCTGATTTCATTTTTGTGTCAAGGGGATATTTCTCACAAGTGCTAAACAAATGTCAGCGGATTTACAGCCAATTCTGTGGAGTGTTTACTTAACCCTTTGAATGCACGGGTCATTTTTCAAACACCATCACGCACCTCTTGTCACGAGCACTTACAGTTGTGAGCAAAAGTTTACATACACCAGCAAAGACCGTGTTTATCATAGCAGTCTTGAGTTTTAAATGACTCCTATAACTCTGAGTTTCCTATGATGGAACGATTGAAACACATGCATCTTTGTAACAGAAAACAATTATGCATTTGGATTCTTTCACTGTATTATTATAGATCTTCTGAAAATATAACAAAATCTGCTGGGTTAAAATTATACATACAGCAGGTTGGGTCTTGGACACAGTTGGGTTTTCCAACAAGACAATGAAATCCAAACAAACACCAGAAATGGTACAGAAATGGCTGAATCCGGCTATAATTACATTTTAAACTGATCTCCCCAAAGTCCTGACTTAAATCTATGTGATGAAAAAACAAGACTGTCAGGAAACCAACAAATTTAGTTGAGCTGCACCAATTCTGTCTAGAAGAGACATCAAAGATACCACCAGAAGCTTGTGGATGGCTAACAAATATACAGAGTTGGGGTGAAACTAGCCAAGGTATGTTTCATCAAACCATAGCTTTGCTGTATGTATATTTTTGACCCATCAGATTTTATCATACTTTCAGGTGACCTGTAATAAATCTAAGAAAAAAACAAAATCCACAATTGTTCTTTGGATCAAAGATGCATGTGTTCCAATGATTCCATCACAGAAAATTCTGAGTCATTAGAAACGCAAGACTGTCATGATAAACATGGTCTGTAGACGTGTAGGTAAACTTCCGTTCACGACTGTATATATATTTGCATGTATTTATATTTTTAGCATTTGTAAACTTGGTTGTGTGCTCTTGTGTTGCACAGACAAAGACTGGGAAGATATCAGGAAGATGCCAGAGTACCCCACACTGCAGAAAGACTTCAGGAGGACAACGTGAGTGGACGTTATAATCTGAGCATCATCGGAAACTCACAAATACAACATCAAATGTAGCATCATGATGTTCTCTCGTCCAACAGGTATGCAAACAGCAGCTTAATCAAATACATGGAGAAGCATAAAGTCAAACCGGACAGCAAGGTTTTCCTCTTGGTAAGTTTGCATCACTTCAGAGGACATTACATCAACTTACCATTACCATAACAACTACCTGACAAACCCTAACCCTTAACTTAAACTTTAACCACCTTAGAATTACATGATTTATCGGGGGCTTGCTTTCTTTTCAGTGTAACTCTTGTGCTCCCACATCATGCAAAGACACACTTACATATAATGTGGAAAGATAATCTGCACAAATCAGAAAATAAATAATAATTTTTCTAAGTTGTAGTTAGGTTCTAATGCACATACAACTAGATGATAGAGCTGCGTTCGTTGTGGTGAACTGCGCTGTGACTAACAGCTCTGAGGTATGTGAGAGTTGCAGGATAAACATGTAGTAACCTTGTAAACACAGCGCTGTTGGATAATCATGTGCTGTGTTCTTTTAAAAACCTTTGCCAGACTCTTTGGCATCCACAGCCTTTTCTCTGAAGGCCTGACAGAGCTCTTTAGATGACCCCGTGATGACACCCACACCTCACTCACAAAGAGAACAGCACAGCCTACATGACAGAGGTTTAACCCTCTGAGCGCCAGGAGTTTTTTTTTTTTTTTTTGCTCCTGTCACATGTGAAATCACTGTGGACTCCTTTTTTCAGTGCAATATAAAGTTCTGCATCTCTGTGGAAACAAAACAACTACAGCTAGAAGTAGACAGAAATCAGAAATGTCGTTTGTGCAATATAACAAAGTTAAAATGCCATAAATCATAAAGAAAGATGTACACTAATAATACAAATCAGATATCAACATGTACAACACATGCTTTTTTTTGTTTTAGTGCCTTTTTATAGAATCTGATTAGAGCAAAGAGTTTGTTTTTGGAGAATCTTGAATAAGACATGTAGAATATAGTCAGACTTCAGTTGTTTTTGATGTTAAGATCGCTAAAGATAGTGTTGATGCTTCAGGAATATTTAGCTGCTAATTCTACTGAGAGAAACTTTCACCCATGTCTTTGGTTCCTTTAATCCCTCCTTACTTTGTAGTTCTGATCTTTTCACAGTTTCCTATTACAAACAAACAGAGATGAGTAAACATGAGATCATATGGAGTGATTAAGTCACCCATTGGGAAGTTTTGGTGGTGTCACCCTCCACTATCAGTAACATGATGCAGGTTATTATGTTTTTGCAGTGTAACAGTGGAACAACACATCATTAATGAGTTATATAAAGACAGTTGGATATTTAAAAATCAAGCAGTTCTTCCTGATTTTAAAGTTCCTGCCTCTAAGAAATTATATACATTTGGTCGTTTTTAAAGATATTACACCTTTCAAAACAGCCGGTGGGTAATATTTGTTCTATGGGTTAACAGGTGACAAAAGACCATCTAGTGTTTGCTTGTTCACATCTGTAAAAGTCAACAGTTTCCATAGGAAGTACTTATTTTTCAAATGGCTGTATGTAAGGGCTACAAACCTGCACTTTGAATTCATCGTGAGAACACATATGAACAAGTTAAAAGTCTCCACTGTCACCTCACAGTGGCTGTTTCTCTTATAATTTGATGTGATGGTGTATAAAACCACAAAACAGAAAAATTTAAACTTCATGGGTCCACTTTTTCTAGATCTTTTAACCACACTTCAGCTGATGGTGACTGAGATGCAGGCAAAAAAAAAAAGCTACTGAGTGGATCTGTGCTCAGATTATTTTGTCAGATTAACATCTCCTGTGACCTTTTACACTCATATTTTGTGACTGGTCTCCTCCTGATTATAAATATTTTGTACCACTGTGTGTTTTCGGCTCTCAGCTGCAGAAACTCCTCACCATGGACCCCACCAAAAGAATCACATCAGAACAGGCGCTGCAGGACCCCTACTTCCTGGAAGACCCTCTACCAACCACTGAGTGAGCTTCAGTAAACTTTTACAGGAGGCTTTCATTTGTCTTTATTCAGGAAAAACAATGTAGTTTACCTCTTATAGTGTGAGGGGTTTGCCCTTTACGTTCAATCATGCTTCCCTGTTTTCAATCCGGTGTTTTGGTTGGTGGAGTGGAGTGTTTCAGTATGTTGACGCAGAAACGCGTTAACCGCCGATTTTATCTGGTTTCCTCTAGCGTGTTTGCTGGCTGTCAGATCCCCTACCCAAAACGGGAGTTTCTTAATGAAGATGAGCCAGAGGAGAAAACAGAAAAGGTAATTACACAGTGTCCCAGCATGGAAGTCATTTTATTAAGTGCCCATAAAGGAAATTAAATTCAGTGCCACACATAGTCGTTCCATTCGATACCTCCTCATTCATAATATTATATTGTCTTTTATGATTTTTTTTTTCACGGTTACATTCTCTATTAAATGTCAGCACTAGAAGGCCACATCGGAGCTGGTTTCAGTGTGCAGTTGCATTCATTCTGTAGTACTTATACAAAAATAACATTTAAAGAGCATAAAGGTGTGGATGACTAAGAATTTACTCGTGTTTCCTTAAGACAAGCAGGATTGCAGTACAAACAGTTTGTGCAGTCACAAATTTTGGGGTACAGATGTTGAAATACAGTCACACAGAATCTTGCAGAATAACATTAATTGCCTTGTATTTGACATAAGCAGTAATAAAATAGACAGATATTGCCTGACATAAATAAGCTTTAGGGGTAAAATAAGATGCAGAAGGATGTCAACATCAGCTGTTTGTGAACGCCTCTGGCATTCATGCCTTCAACTTAATTTTTCTGATTTGGAGAGGAGCCATTACACATTTCCTGAACTTACACAACAGAGCATTAAACAACCCTTGTTCAGGCACTGACGTGCATACACTGCTTATTAATGTGTCTCTACAGTTTTGTTTGGTTTGTGTGGAAGCTTATGGCTTCATTGTGCCACACTTCTGCATTAGAAGTGATCCAAACCTACAGCGGTGTGAGGCTGGAAGCTTGTCATAGTGAGATTGTATTACTGCCCAGAGAGATGAATCACAGAGGAAGAAAAACACAAGCTGGACAAACACGAGCCGCCGGTTCAAATCTCACAGCAGAGCGGCGGTCAACCCACCTTTCCAGGTAAAGGTCGCAGGGTTTCCCGAGTCCATTAGACGCTGTGAGCTCTGATTTATATTTCCTACGTGACACTGATAACAGGGTGGGTTGATCTATAGGCTGCTGTAGTGGGAATACATAAGATATCTTTTCAAATCTGCTGGTGTTGCTGTGATGCAGCACGTTTGGCTAACTTTGCCAGCTTTTGTCACTACATTACCAAAAATGGAAGCTGCTTTAGCTTCTTAAATGAAGCCATTAAAATCTTCAGAACATGATATCATAAACTTCGGGTTATCTGTAATTAAAAAGAAAAAAAAAAAGTTCTTAAAATTACAGCTTGTCTTCTGTGAAACATCTTTTCAGCTGTGCCGTAGATTTACAGGGTTTTATGTGACAGTTTGATCCTCTCAGTGGACCAGATGTGCCCGGACACTTCTGCATTCCGTCGTATATAATCCTGCAGCAGAACCGGTTCTTAGAAATCTGCAGCCCATTAGAGTAAACAGGCTCTCCCCTGTCCCTTCAGTTATTTTTACAGTATAATAAATCACTACGGGGACTCGGCGGTGACTTTGCCAGAGGCAGGGACACATTGTACATGCTGTAACAAAGTACAATGAAGAGGCCGACCGTCGTATGTTGAACCCAACGCGTTTCATCGTGGCATTAAAAGCTGCTGAAAAAGTGCATTCTTTGCCAGGCGTTTGTCTTAAGAAGCAGATGTCTGTCGTGCAATCTAAGGAGAGAGCTCACACCGAGGCAGGGACAGACGTCTCCATGTAATTTCTGAGAAGCTGTAGCTCCTGTATCATATTTACAGTTGCTGTCTAGAAAGCAGCAAACGATCCGAGTGCGATCAGAGGACGACACGTGTGAGAGGCTTGGCTGGGTTTTTAGTTCCTTCAACAAGGAAAAGGCAGAAGCAAAAATAGAAGATAAAACAAAATATAACAAACACAATGAATTTATGTCCACAGTGGAAATAAAATAAGTGAACCTTCTGCAGGACTGAAATGAAATTTGCAGCACACATCTAAATTTAGCACATATAGGTTTGCTCATCGAACATATTGTTTATTTATGCTGAAATACACAGTGCATTAATTTAACCAGGTGTTTTTTTTCCCCCTCAATTTTAGAACAGTGAGAGAATGATGAGGGCCATATTAATGAATTTTGTCAGAATTGCGTCTTTGCTGGTCTCTTATACAGTTAAGAGAGCTAGACCATTATATATACACATTGCTGCTAAATATTGAACCATATGAGCAATGATCACCTATTTTATCATTTGAAATGCTATTCTTAAAGACCCCCCTCCAATGGAAAGTCAAGTTTTTACCTTGTTAACATGTCCAAATGGTGCTTTAATATGTTCATGATTGAGCGTTTCAACCTTAAAATCGCAGTGAACTAATGACAGATTCAGACTTAGGAGGACATATCTTATGGAACTTAACAAATCAAACCTGTCAACTTGCAGGGTGCAGCTGTCAGTGTCCTTATTCTTCTTCGTAATCACTTTCTCGTTTGAACATGTATTACAGTGTTCAAACAGAATCATCGGAGAGCTGGTGTGCCCAAACTTGTATTTCTACAGGGTCTGGTTTGTGCAAACGGTTCATTTTTTGACAAATTTTCAAATATGACGTGTAAAGTAATTTTGATGAAATATCACATTTCGTTAATTTTGCTGACATCATACAAAATAAGTTTCAGGACAGTAGAAAAGTTGAAAATCAGATAGAACTCTTTGTTTTTACAGTTTTTGCCAAAGAGAAATTGTGTAATTCTGGTGACTTCTTTTGAAAGATAACATGTCTTTCAAACCCGCCAGAGGGTTTTAGGGTTCAGAGGGTTAAAGTATTTCAAACCCAATATTGTTTGCATTTAGTGCTAGATCTAAATTACTGTATATGTATTATGAAGTGAACTATAGTCACTGGCTGCTATGTTTTTAAAACATCCAAAGCGTGAGAGTGTCATTTTATCAACTACACAGGGCGTGACAAGCAGTTCTTTACTTGCTGGTAATGTTGCTCTTCACTGCTTTTGTTGGCACTTTGCTGCACATCTGCATGTGTTAGCAGGTTGATACCAGTTGTTGATCAGTTAGAAACTACTGGCTGGACTGTGCATCTCGTCACTCATGTCTATGTGCATCCTCATGCATGAATCTAGACGTCCAAAAGTGCACAGAGAAGTTTGAAATGTGTGACAAATGTAACATATCTAATTTTGTACAGTTAGTAAGTACACCTAGGAAAACCACGCTATAGATATTGAACAATCAACTCTAGACATTCCTGCAATAGACATACACAAAACAGTTTAAAAATTTGACTCTAAACTTGAAGCTTTTTGACCATTTTGAAATCATGTTATCACCAAATAAAGTAATACACACTGTATGGAGGTGACTGAGGTGTGGCCCTCAATGCTGACTCTGTTAAAAGTAATATTAAAGTAATCTGGATACTACCGCTAACTTCATTTTATACAATTAATGACTTTCACCCAGATGTCACGAGTCTCTTGTGCTGAGTCACATGAGCAAATTGAGCCGTTGAACTGACAACGCAAATCACTGAAATGAATCTTGGAGCAACAACTTGTGCAATCGATGAATAACACACACATTTAATATGATGCTTCATTGCTGTCTAAATACATGAAGGAGTGTCTCTGAGGTGAGTTTCTACATGTTTCCTTCTTTGTGTCATCAGTTGAAGAGTCATTTCTTGTGTTTGACTGAGTTTTCTCGTATTGTAATGTTTTATTTAAATTATAAACTGGTGTTTTGCCAAATTCGAGTTCATTTCAGTCACTTCAATGAGAAAATTGGGTCACAGAAACAGACAAAAATAGCCGACAGCTAAAAATAGAGCAAATAAAAATACCATTTCAAGTATCCACAATGACTTCACGCACTTTCCCCAGCAACAAGAATTACTTTTGTTAAGCTGTTGTCGGTTGTGTTGTGCGTCCGTCTGCAGAATCAGACCCAGCAGCACCAGCAGACGACGGGCCAGACTCAGGCCCAGAACCAGCAGCAGACGGCGGCCCAGCAGGCTCCCTCCCAGCAGAGCTCGGCTCAAACCAACGGCACCGCTGGAGCCACGGGGGCCACCGCTGGCGGGGGGCTGCAGCACGGTCAGGACCAGGGGCCCCCTAACAAGAAACCTCGGATCGGGCCCTCTGGGGCCTCGTCAGGCACCGGGGTGCTACAGTCAGAGTACCAGGTCAGTGGGGTTGTACACTGACATGTCTTGTTCCTCTGTGAGCCACACTGTTGCACTCTTTTATCACCTTGAACACACACCGTGTTTACTTTGACCCAGTCCCACATTCACCATCCTGCTGCCAGAAATACCCACCAGAACACAAAATGTGATTTAATCCACAGCTAAAAACAGACTCCAACAAATAAACAAAGTCCTCCTTGTTGGGCAGCATTTGATTAGAAGCACTCCTGATGAAATTATAAACGTTTGTTTCAATTTCAATTTCAATTTTCAACTTTATTTGTATAGCGGAGTTGACAATATATGTCATCACACAGCACTTAACAGAGTAAGGTATAGACCTTAACAAATTTAAACAGAGTTTCCCCACTTTTGAAGATCTTCAGAAGGAACAGCTGGGCTTTAGGCTGAGAGCTACAGACCAGACAGGTTAAAGGGGTCAAAACAGTTTTTAATAATGGTTATTTTATCTATATTAATCATTTAGTTAATCTTTGTAGAATCATAGTATCATAATATATCGTGATATGTATGCATATCACAATGTAAAATTACATATTATGTGCATGTTGTGATAGAAAATACATCAAAGCTCCCATTTATAGTTTCATTAATCCACGTATGAGGTGACATTATTCAGTTTTACCCCCCTGTAGTATTGTTCTGACCTCTTTAGTACAAGTTTTTCTCTCAACAGAGAGAAGCTACTGTTGAGGGAGACACATACAAACATTCACTTACACACAACACAACAACAGCCTGGTGTCTAACTGATAAGGATTGTACATTCCACACGGTCCTGCTGACAGAGCTGATATCAAGTCGCTGTGGTGCCTGTGAGCTGTTGTTTTCTTCTCAGAGTGTCTGTCGTATTGTTGACTCGACTCTTATCACGAGGCCAAAGAGAGGAGAGATTTCTGAGTGCTGGAGAGAGTGCGATGACATGCAGCTGTACGCAAACGTATGAGGAAATTACATGTTTTGTTGACATTTCAAGGATGAACTCCTGCAGCACATACACATTAAACACACGCCTTTCTTCAGGTGTTGATGCACTGCGAATTTTTTATTTTACAACCTAAAAAAAGGGGGAAAAATACAGTAACTGGCAAAAGCAATCAACAACACATGTGATTTTTGGTTGCTCAAACATCAGCGTACATCTGCAAGGGCAGGGGGCTCGTGTGTCGATAGTGATAGAGGTGACTGCTTTGACCTCTCCTCCCTCTGTGTCAGCAAGGCCACACGGAGGCGACACTATCAGACATGCACACGCTACACATACAGATATATATATATATATAGTCATGCTTGTGCGACAGCTGCTGGCTGTCAGGCCTCAGCAGATGTAAAAATAAACCAGTGGAGTGGACCGACATGCCAGGAGACTGGCTAACTGTCTGACAGCGCCGTCACCGACAGCGTCCCACTTTTCCCCTCATTGATTCGTATCCGCATGTATCCCACCATGCACCACTCTGCAGTCGTTCTCCTGAACAGCAGCAGTGTCGCACATGTGACCTGGTCTGTGCAGCGCAGACAGTCGATCGGGTCACATGAGGTCTCCGACACTAAGTTGTCGTAACTGTGACTTGATGTATCCAGTCCTGCTTTTTACTGCTTGCAACAGGTGATTTTTTTTTTCTCATGAAGGCGTCCTTTAACTGACTGAATATTCCGCTTATATAAAATATTTAGATTTTTTTGCCTGACCCTCCCTGGCTGACATGTAAACAGATGTCTTTTGCAAACCATTCCCCCAGTGTGTAAATCAGGCTTTTCTGTTGATTGGTAGTCTGAAGCGAAGTTAAAAAAAACAAAGTGATGTCTCTAAAAATGCAGACTTGACAGACCTCCTCCAGAACCACAGGAGACATCGATGTTAAGGAGTAAAAATGAATTAAACGCAGGTTTGTAACCCCAGTTTGGCCATGAAAACAGATTTAAAGTTCTTCATTTAAAATTAACTCTGGACTGCATTAAACAAACTAACTGGAATCCGGACAAATCTGAACACAACCCTGTGTTTTGACCTCTTAGAAATTGATAGAAACTTATGCTGCACATTTCATGATGATAATCTGGAAAGGGGCAAAATGACAGAGACTTTTATGATGCTTAATATCATCTGGCCAGATTTGGTATATTGTAAAATTGTCTTGCCACATTCCGTGTTGTCCCTTTCTGACACTTTCAACGGTGGATACACACAAATTAGTTTAGATTGGTGCTACACTTGCCATTTAAAAAGTGCTGCGACGGGCCCTGATCCATGATATCG